GAGAATTTCTACAAAAACGGGACTCCGTAATGATTGATTTATTAAGAAAACATACTGTAAGTACGTTTATTGCATTATTGAAGGTATGTTTATATACATTCCAGGTTGTAATTGCAGATAGGGTAGTTATATTTAGTCCAAGAAAAATTAAGGTGGGACATCCTAATCACTTAGGGGTATAAAAACCTAGTCTCAGATCTTTTGATCAAATTTTACATGTATACTCACATGTCAAAGTTTGATCAAAATCGGCTAAGCCGTTTCGGAGAAGTATAACACAGGGTTACGAGAATTTAAATATAAACTAGCTGTCCCGGCTAACGTTGTTTTGCCTTAAAATAAAAAATAAAAATTTAGGAGTGGACTACCCCTAATTTAGGGGATGAAAAAATAGATATTGGCCGATTCTCAGACCTACTCAATACGCTCACAAAATTTCATGAGAATCGGTCAAGCCGTTTCGGAGGAGTACGGGAACGAAAACTGTGACACGAGAATGTTATATATAAGATGTCATTTCGATGTATAATTACTTGATAAGAGGATTGAATATTAGTCCTCCAGTTTGGAAACACATGACTGTTATCACGGGTGCCTCATGATAACATTGATACTGCTTTTCATGTAAATAGGCGACGATTACCACTTACCATCACGTGGGCCGATGGTTGATATTCCAAATATATAACAAAATATACTAGATGTCATGAAACCTTCATGAAGGAAGCCTGAAGGGAGTGTACCGGCGCTAACTTAGCAGATTGCTGTAGTCAGTATGGTAATCACAGAAACAATATATATATATATATTGTTATATACACATGTTAGTCCTTAAGGTATATATAATATGTGCCAATATTGTTATATAAATAATATTAAGTTGTCTGAAGGAAATAAAAAAAGTAAATAAATAATAATTAAACAGGAAGTAGGTATTTTGTGACTGTCAACGAGATGCATGGGTGTTATCGTTGAAAACAATTAGAAAGCACCATATTGTAATTTAAATTGTAATTATATATTTTTATATAATCAACGATGTAACAAATATTCAAGAAGAACAGAAACAAAAGAATCCTAATCTTGAGAACACAGCGTTCTCTACTTGAAAATTATGAAATTAATTATTAAAGAGGTTGTAACAATTATTTTTGTTGGAGTTTCCAACAGGTATAACAGAAATATTCATAATTAAATATCGGTAGTGCTATTTGACGGCAATTTAAATTTATTAGTTAAATGTGTGAATACATTAAGTTCTGAGTCAGAACCGCAATTTTTATAGAATGTGTTATACTAGCTATTCGATCCGGCTGCGTACGGGTGTACATGTATTATATATTCCTCTTGAATCACTCTATGTTTAAAAAAAAAACCGCTTCAAAATCCGTTCGGACGGACTGTCTGTATGGACGGACAGACAACGACAGCGACTTTGTTTTATACTATGTAGTGAGTGATTTATTTATTTTCCATTGTTAGTTAAATATCTGTATGCTCGTAGACATCGTAACTGCAGAGTGCATTTCAAAGGCCTGCCACTACTGTGTAGCTTATAAAGTACCAGGAATACAGAAAGCACTGCAATTTCGTTCCCACACGACACCCCTCGAAGGTCTATGAAAATGGACATCAATCGAGTATTTCATACAAATATTGAACTGTCCACTTAATGAAGAGCTCAGGTGCATAAACTGTAAAGAGTGAATGACCAGACTGTGCATCAATTGTCGCGTATTGATGTTGGAAGAAGATAGTCATATCCTTCAATAGTGGATCATAAATCACACTCACACTAAGAAATGTTTTTGTACTCACTGGGGTAATAGTAAATCTATGAACAACCATGTAGCTATAGAATACTGTTGAAGTAGCAACTGCACTGCGATATTTGACATATTTTCACTTATGCAGTTTCTGATGTGTGAGAAGAGATTGGATATACAGGTAATTATTAGAGTATTGCGGTGCTTCACACTTATGGATTCCTATTATTTTGAATGTGAAAAGTGACGCCCAAACTTAGCCCGCGTTTTTTTGCATAAACAGTGAAATTATTAAAGTTTTGGATCGCTATTTTCTTGGGAAGGCAAAGATTGGCAATCGGACAAACTGTCTTACTAATTATGAAGCATATCCCAAAACCAATAATTACTCTGCAAAATACGGGCAAAACTATATGAGGACTTTGGCGTCGAAAATTAACTGATCTGACTTCACATAATTTCTATTATTTACCAGTAGTGTCACGCTAGCGCAGCAGCAGGAGCATATAGTGTTAAAGAAAGATAAAAGAGTCATCATAATTTGAGAAGCAGAGTATCTCAATAATCTTAGCATGTATCCAACCTTTCATCAGTAGATATAGATCATATAGCATTCATAAATGAATGTTATTAGAATATGGAAACCAACATCTTACCGCCTATAGAAAATATGAGAAAAATGATTAATATAATTTTTCTCATTTGCATGACAATAATGATAAGAAGTATAGCTCTTTTTCTACAGTAACTAGAATAGCAGAGTGGCCGTAACGTTCCACCTAATGGAGAATGTCTATATACATACATGAACAACACACAGGACATCACGTCATCAAGATGCGCGGGATACCACCCATGCATTGCTCCTTGGAATAGTTATGCTTCCAAATTCTGTAATTTCATAATTTTATGATTGAAGGATGAGATAAGACATCTCATCTTTCAATCGAAATATAGCTTACAAAGCAAGCTGCTAACTGAAACTGAGGTACTTCCGCAGACAGTTTTTTTACAGTCTCTGTTAAGGTATAGTATTTAATCTCTTGTGATCTTTATTGCTTTATATCCTTAGGATATTGAAGAGTCGACCAGGAGAACAAACACAAATATATCAATGCGAGAATAGGAGATTCTAAATAAAACGTTTGTAAATTTTTTGCTCAAGACTATATCCTCTTATCAGAAGAAACCCATGTCTAACATTTAAAGTCCTATGACAAACCGCCAAACAGCATTAAATCCTAATTAGTAGAGATCTATGGCGAATAATTAAGTTATTTATGGGTTAATACTATACTATATTAATAATTTTAAGCATCCTTGAAGTTAGCAATCTAGACGAAACTTATTAAAATTTTTTCTCATATCCCTTCTGATCGATCCCCTATACTATTCGGATGGGAATCGAAAATGTATCGGCCTGAGCTCCTATGTTAATCCCTTGTCCCAATGATGATTGAAATTACAAGAGCCTGAGTAGTTTCTTAAAAGTGGGAGTACTCTTTTTTTTCACAATTCACATAGCGCCATCTAGACCCAAGTTAGTTAGCTAAAGCTTGTGTTATGGGTACTAAATAACTGATACATATACATAGATATTTTTTTGTAAATAAATCCCTATTATATATAGAAAACACCCAGACCGATACCAACAATCATACTCATGAATACAAATGTTTGTGCCGTGCGAGGAATCGAACCCGCGACCATCGGTCGTAAAGCGGTGTGCTAAACCGCTAGGTCAGCCGCCACCGAGGTCGTCAAACTCTTGGACTATAGTTTTATGCATTAAAAATGCATATAGCTGCTCTATAAGTCATTCTGCGGATTTCAAAACGGAAATGTAAGCGAGGTCAGAGATAACTCGCTCCCGTTTTCGTTCATTGAAGCTATAAAAGTGCGGGCGTTGGAGTTATTAAAAAAAAAAAAATTTTTCATCATATGTACTATGCCCTCTAGAATAGGCAAACAAAGTCCATCTCATAGAAATCTACATTGCAAACGGTTTATTTGGTTTATATCCACGAAATTAACTGTTTTGGATTGGGGGATTGGAATGGTGCTTAATAACTTAATTGCTATATACCATGTTAGGTTGACCTCTATGTGGTTGTCTCTGATAACCATCGTGAAAAGTTCCTGGTTAATCCAGGACGGGTTAACTGACCTGATATCATGCTCATCTTATCATCCTCCACTGGCACCTCGACAGCGTATAACGTTAGCGCGCATTCATTAAAAAAACAGTTTGGGATTGAAATCAATATGATTGATACACACTTAGGCAGACAGTTTCGGACTTCGATTCTGTCGGTACTTCTTTATATGAAGTATAGTGTACTAGATTCTTTTGGATTCTTTTTTTGCAAACTCAATTTCATATAAACCAATCTAATTAAGGTATTCTGCATTCTCTAATATGCTTTTCAGAGTTTCTATTTGATTAGGACATTAAATAAAATACATAATACTTCCATTATTATTTATTCGATGTCTCCCATGGTAACTTTCTCATTTCGCATAATCCATTCACTAAAGTATTAATTTTTGGCACGATATTTGGCATTTATAAGAAGTAACTACAATACTGAATATTATCGTGATATTGTGGTGATTAATTATCTGGAATTTTGTGTGTAATTAGGACGTGTATAGAAATAACATTTAAATAAATTAGTTAGGTATATATAATTTTGTAGGGTAATTGTTGGAATATTTCAATATCGACAGCGTTCAAGTAACGCATCGACGTACAAAACTTTTACTTTATTTAAACAGTCAAAAGCAAATAAAATTGGACATTAACATTTTTCGTATCCCAAACCAAATACGGCTGTATGTTCTCATTTCTTTGTTATTTTAGTCAACAAGTTAGAATAATAAATTAGAACTAAAATGATACAAGCCGATTGATTCAGCATTACGGTTAAATACTATTCATATAAACACAACAATAGTTCCAACATTTCATAATCATCTAGCACGAGATAACGAATCAGACACAACAAAGATTTCTTCTCATAATATTTCGATCGAATCTAGACATTAAATTTAGAATTTGGCCCAATTGGTCCTTATCGGCCTTTAATTTTAGTAATAAGATTAGAATTTTAGAAAACAACGGCCAATTTGCACTAACACACTATGCCACTAAACGTGGTCTAGATTCTAACTACTCAATCCTAGTTGATAATACTTTATTTCTTCATTTAGAGAAACTAAAACACTCGTTCGCTCGTTTTTAAAACACAAGCCCCAATTTTGTTACACTTATTCAAAGCATACTTGAACGAGGATTACATTATAAAGTTCACTTAGGATTCTACAGGAAATATTATTAATCCATTAACACCTATAAGTACAGCTTTAATTAATGTAACTGACTCGCTCAAAAATGCTCTGGAAAATAACGTAAAATGTCTTTTGGCACGCAAAGTGATTTTGGTCTGTCCAAATCATAGATATCTGTACGAACTTGAGTAATCCTAACAGTTTAAGGAACTTTTTATTCTCCAACTAGAAAATTTCCCAGTATCTACTATGCTACGTTACATATATTAACCATTAGTTATTGCGTTTATAATTGTTATTGCTTTTATATTTGTTTATTATTTGGTCTGTCAAATCTTTTTGTGAGAAATTGTGTAAAAAAGATAAAGTTGTGTGCCTTATTTGTGTGCTTACATTCAATTTATATCTAGAATAGAGAAAAGATAGCGGTTTGAATTAACTACGAGCAGCAAAACTATGAGTAAAATATTTCTAAAAGTTGAACACTAGTAACTCTAACGGGATAGCCGTCATCACTGACATTTAAAAGGCCTTCGATAGGATTCATCCTGAGATCACGTTCTTAAAGATTAAGTACAAACTATTATTGCGTGTTTAGAATTGCACTGTTACGATTCTTATAATTACAGATAGTATCGCATTAAAGAAGTCTTTGATACACTCCGTAGTATTGTCTATATCAGGCGTGGGGTGCTTCAGGGCAGCCGACTAGGTCCGCTTGTCACGTCTCCGAATTGAACAAAGAGTTTCTTCTCTTTGACTCATTACGCACTTATTTAGTGGTTTCGAGCGTGACTCACACGGGCGGGTCCATGTCGCGCTGCAACGACGTCAGTCACGTGTGGAATACCCACCCGGGGATCGGAGGTCACGCGTCCGGAACACCGTGGATATGATGCTGATAGTTGTGATTCAGTTTGTTGGCAAACTCGTGCATTATATCTCTGAATATCACCGAGTCGAGATTCTCTCCGAGTATGTACAATAAGTACCAATCGCCCATCTTGCTTCTCCTTACTATCGTGTCGACATTGTCGCGTCTGACCAGTCTGAATCTCATGCGCATCATGTAGACACGCATTCTTGGGGAGAAAATGATCACAAGCCTGTACAACAACGTGATGAAGGTAAGGAACCCGAGGATGACGAACCAAAACCAGAGGAAGACGTAGATCTTCTCGTTGACCACATTCAACGGTAGAATACAGAGAGCATCGTGCCGCTCGACTTCGCCTGACGAGCCGAATTTGTTGAATAGCGTGCATTTCACCATTCTGTAATAGATAAAAGATTGCTTATTAATTACAAAATATGGCATGAGTTTTATTGTTTTACTTATTTTAAAATAAATAAAGAGTCTGAAAGAGACTTAACTGCATGAGATCTTTAAATAATTTAAAATTCTGCTGTCAAATCTCCATCCAGTGGCTGCCTAATATATATTAATAGCAGTGTTAAAGAATATGATAACAGGTTTATGTATGATATTATTGCGACTGAAGGAATGTGCATCCATGGCATCCACCGATGAGCGTCCTTTTTATTTTCTAATAATTGGAATAACAGTGAAGCTTACACCAGAATGTCACTGACAGTATCAATACCACGTAAATCACAATACACATTCTGTCAATTACCATTCCTTTAGAGCCATTCTGTAAGCATCACATACGAATTCAAAATTAGAATCTGCGGTAAGATTACATTACAATACATTGGTTTTCTGTAAAACTTAATAGCGTCTGCAGTGCCACACGCTCGAGAGCGGGATCGAGGCACTAGTGTTTTTTTCAGAAATATAGGCAAACTCGATAGCTCAGTAGAAACTTTATATTTGGGAATGGATACGGGTGCCTTGAGTGAAGCGATGACTGAAATGTTGATAAAACGTTTACTGAATACAAATGTTGGTCTCAGGTATGGCTCTGTACCAGTGTCGACTCTGTACCAGTGTCGAAAACAACAACTTGCGCTATCCTTCATTCATTTCCTTTCCGAAGGGCCAAGTGTAAGTTGTCATGCCTCTTTATCATGTAATGTCACTGACATATTTCATTCACTCTTCTATCGAAAGAATCATCTGGAGCTTGAAAAAAGCAAGCGGCTTGCTTTGTTTTCTAGGCAGACTAGCTTTTGCTCGCGGCTTCGCTCGCGTTAATTTATCCCTTTAGGGGTAGAATTTATCAAAATCTTTTCTTAGGGGATGCCTACGTCATAGTAGCTTTATGCATGCAAAATCTCAGCCCGATCGGTTTAAAATTGACAAAGTTTCATACCCTATTTTATCCCCTTGAGGGTAGAATTAATCAAAATCCTTTCTTAACGGATGCCTACGTCATAACATCTGCATGCCAAATTTCAGCCCGATCCATCCAGTGGTTTGGACTGTGCGTTGATAGATCACTACGTCAGTCACCTTTGAGTTATATATTAATATATTTTAAATTTAGATTTAGAAGTCAGTGACTGTTCATAAATCATGGACTTGTTTTAGAATTAATATTGCGAGTAATGCTATAATAGAAGTTGGAGTGTAAAATACTATATTTACCTTGGAAATATGTAAATCATGGGATCCACACGATCCTCCTGGTCCGACTCCATATACGCTATCACGTCTAGTCCGAACGTCATGAACTCGCCGTCGAAGAAACGGTTCATCAGGAACATTTGCCCTGTGGAATAAATGCAGTATATTAATAACAAAAAATGTGTTAATTTATATTTCCGGCGAGGGAAAGATCTGTAAAGAATGAATTTCGAAACACAGATGGGAAGAACGAAGGTACCAATTTATTTTCTTGCCAGATCTTCTCAACTAAAGTAGCCAAACGAACTAGACAATATGGATACTGATAAAAAAAATACATGCGTAAATTTGAATTGTTACACTCGTGAAAGTGACGTGCTCGTGGGGACTGATCTATTCAAGTCAGAGCAGAGATTTAATATATTTTTATTATTCATTCATTGCCTTGCCTTTATCCCATTATTTGGGGTCGGTGCAGTATGTCATTCTCTTCCACTGCTCTGTGTCGGTCGTCATATCTAAACATACTCTTCTTTTATTCATATCATCTTTCACACAATCTATCCATCTTTTCTTAGGGCATCCCCTCCCTTTACATTATTATTTATTATTATTATATTTATATGCAGGTAATTGCTTCTTCAAAGTGTTTCCGCCAATTTTAACGGCGTGGGGTACAAGCTTATTATTCTGTGGGTATAACGCAACTTCCGGTCGCGTTTCCAATAACAAAAACGGGTGCGTTCAGTGCGATCGAAATTTGCTGTCTCCGTTGTCCTTACACGTGTGCGGGCAGGAAAACGGCGGATATGAATTTTCATACTTCTTCACTATATAGTACAAAACAATATCGCTGTCTGTCTGTCTCTATATATGCTTAAATCTTTAAAACTACGCAATGGATTTTGAAGCGGGTTTTTTTTAATAGTTACAGTGATTCTAGAGGAGGTTTTGTATAAATATAATACATGTACAACCGCGCGAAGCCGGAGCGAGTAGGTAATAATCTATTAATGGTATAATGCAAAGTCTCTGTTTTCGCCCATCTCTTTCTACGCTTATTTACAGCTAAGTATCGCTAAAACACGAGAATGACTGAATCGATTTGGCTAATTTTAGTCTTGAAATATTCGTGGAAGTACAGAGAAGATTTAAACGGCGATGTAATATGAAGAAATTGCATGTAAAATAGTAAAATCAACAATTTCATATTCTCATATTCTATTACCTGTCAAACAGGGTGCGTTTAGAAATTTATTGCGCAACTAAACTTCTATAATATTTAATATTGAGGCAGAACGCAGTTCGTGATGTCAGTTAATTGTATTATATATAATTGTCGCCATATTGTAACGATACATTTGCCGTTTGATATATTGTTTGTGCCTCTTCTTTACTATATGTTGCAAACAAAGTATATTCTATCTATTGTTTATTAATAATTTTAATACGCAGAGTAGCAAAAATAGGGGATGAAACTTAGTCAATTTTAAACCGATCGGGCAGAGACTTTGCATGCATAAATTTGCTATGACGTAGGCACCCCCTAAGAAAGTATTTTGAAAGTCCACCCCTAAGGGAATAAATTAACGCGAGCGAAGACGCGGGCAAAAGCTAGTTTGTTTATAAATACATATATTTTCTTCTGTTTGCATCGTTTATCTTAATTATATTTGTTTCGGCATTAAAAAATATATACAACCCTAAATTGCCACTCTTCCACTGTCTCTTCTATTTACCTCTATTTTTTAGTAGTGATAATAATTTATCTGATAAAACAACGTTTGCCGGGTTAGTCGTAACATATATAACTGACAGCAACGTAGCTGAGAATTAAGATAATTTGGTAGCACCTTTACCGCTACGTTAGTATGCAACTATAATAAGTAACAATGGACAATTAACACAGCGCCATCTAATCCCACGGCAAGCAGACCTTGTGTTGGGGACTAGACAACCTACATAAAGACTTAGAATTTTTTTTTTGTAAATACATACATAATATATGTAGAAAACACCCAGACCGATACAAACAATCATACTTATGAGTTTGCACCGTGCGAGGAATCAAACCCGCGACCATCGGAATTAAAGCGGTCTGTTAAACCGCTAGACCACCGAGGCCGTTCCAAACTCAAGTCCAACGAGTTCTTGACGCACTTTTTATGGCCAAACGAGTCCGTAAACATCTTCTTACTGAAATATCAGCGGCACATCTGCCGCGCGCCCGCTCTGAATCGCCAACTAGCCCTCTCTTGTACCGTCCATTGTAAATCATAACATATTGAATTAAAAAGAAACATAAAAACAACATTTACTGCGACAACTTCTAATACCCGATATTGTTGACGTGTGCGATTAAAAATATGCGAGCGTGTTTTGTTTTGGATAGCTTTAATGGCTCATACAGATATCATTCTAAAACTACTCGCACCAATAGAAAAATAAGCACTTTCTATTTATATGTATATTATGTATGTATTGACAAACAAAACATATTTAAGTATACAAGCTAGTAACATCTTTATCATAGCACTTACTTGATATATATCATTATATTTCGCCCAATTTACATAATATCGTGGTAGATTATACTGTGTTTTTTATGATCAATAAGTTACTAGCTGTCCCCACCACTTTGTCCGAGTGGAATAAGTGACGAATGACGAATTTCCATATAAACTTTCACTTTCAAGTTTCTAGCTTTAAAAATGACGATGCAAAGGCCTATACCACTTTATGTGCTCCTGGTAACCGTATTCGTTAATCACGTGGCCGACGTCCCACTCGATTGACAGCACTTCTGTATGGGAACATCTCCTACAGGAATATACAGTCCTAGTATCCCGTCGCTGGAAAACACGTGACCTGGCGTAGCGTTTGACTTGACTCGAACGCGAAATAAGAAGAATGTACTAACCTAAAAAATAAGTTTATACTTCCATACAACCTTTCACCTCCCCTTTCAACCCCTTACAACCCTTTTTCGGATTAAAAAGCCTATGATGTTCTTTCTCAGGGTCTATTTTTTTTTACTAATATACAATAATGGAAAATATTATTTTAAAACTGGGTTAATTCTACAATACTCTGGATAAATATTTTATTTTCATTCCAACAAAACTACACGTCAAAGTCCCTCCTACACTTAGAACCCACGCATTACCAAGCCATCATGATCATTCAGTATCTGCAATTAAAATCCAAAGGCCATATCAACCATGCCAATCCATGCCACTTTATGTACTCCTAGTAACCGTATTCGTTAATCACGTGGCTGACGCCTCGCTCTATTCACAGCGCTCTTGTGTGGAAACATCTCTTACAGGATATGCAGTCCTAGTATCCCATCGCTGAAAAACATGTGACCTGGCGTACCGATTGATTCTAGTCAGAAACACGACGCCAATTTGAAGATAAAAAATAAGTTTCAAGCTATAAATATTACGTTATTTCCATACTACCTTTCACCTCTCCTTTCAATCCCTTACAACCCCTTACAACCCTTTTTTAGCATTAAAAAGCCAATGATGTCCTTTCTATAATTTGTTACTGTAATCCATATTTTATTTTCATTCCAACAAACCGCACGTTAAAGTCTCCTCCTACACTTAGAACCCACGCATTACCAAGCCATCATGATCATCCAGTATATCTGCCATGCCAATCCATGCCACTTTATGTGCTCCTGGTAACCGTATTCGTTAAACACGTGGCCGACGCGGCGAAGCCCCGCTCTATTCACAGTGCTCCTGTGTGGGAACATCTCACAGGAATATGTAGTCCTAGTATTCCGTCGCTGGAAAACATGTGACCTGGCGTAGCGATTGATTTTCTAGTCAGACACGAACGTGAAATATGAAGAAAAAAAAAATACGTACCTAAAAAGTAAGTTTCAAGCTTTAATTATAACAACTTCTATACAAGCTTTCATCTCCACTTTAAACCGCTTACAATCGTTTTAAAAAGTCTATGTACTTTCTTAGAGTAAAGACTATATCTGTACCAATTTTCATGTAAGGTTCAGTACTTTTGGTGTGAAAGCGCGACAGACAGACAGGCAGACAAAGTTGCTTTCGCATTTGTAATATTAGTAAAGAAGTAAGGATTAGTAAGAATAATACTGTAAAGTATATTCAATATTTCAGTACTTTTTGTATGAAATAGTAACAAACATCCATCGATCCATCCATATCCAGTCGATCAATATCTATAGTACAAAACAAACTCTGCTTAGTTTAGGGCCAGCCGGTAAGAAATGGGAGGTACGCGTATCGAAGTCTCTTGTGCTGTGCATGAGTATAGGCCACAGTTACTATCACTTACTATCAGGCGGTCTTCAGCTTTTAAGCCATTGTAGTTACCTAAATAATGTCATGATTATTACCTTATAATTTCTCTACCATTTCTCATCTTTCAAACCAAAAATATAGTTAGGAACGATGCTTGGCGTCTGAAATACTCGTTAGTAAGACAGACGAACCCACTTTGATGACTTTGCAAACTACATATTTATGATTTTCTAATTTTTCCGAAAATTGTTTGAATACTGGTAACACACCCACAATTTGTTTACAATATTACAGATATAACGGACACATACAGAATCAGGAGAGACGTAGTCACACAAACGACTTTTCTAGACCTTTCTAGATGTTTATTACCCCCAATTTGTTTACAATATTACAGATATATACAAATAATGGACGCGTTTCGGAATCGGTGTAGTGTCACAGAAAATGACTTTTCTAGACGTTTCTAGATGTTTATTACCCACAATTTGTTTACAATATTGCAGATATATACAAATAATGAACGAATTTCAGAATCACAGGAGACTTTGTCACACAAAACGACTTTTCTAGACGTTTCTAGATGATTATTACCCACAATTTGTTTACAATATTTCAGATATAATAAAATAATGAACGCATCTCAGAATCAGTGTAGACGTTGTCACAGAAAATTACTTTTCTAGACGTTTCTAGATGTTTATTATCCACAATTTGTTTACAATATTACAGATATAATGGACGCATACAGAATCAGGAGAGGCGTAGTCACACAAACGACTTTTCTAGACCTTTCTAGATGTTTATTACCCACAATTTGTTTACAATATTACAGATATATACAAATAATGGACGCGTTTCAGAATCGGTGTAGACGTTGTCAAACAAACGACTTTTCTAGACGTTTCTAGATGTTTCTATTTTAGCGAACATAGTCGTTTAACTAAAATTGAATATCCTGCGAGGCAGCGGCGGTGAATGTAAGTGGGACGGGAGACGCGGCCATTTCGCTGTAGTGCGACAAAATAGAAAACACGTTTTGTGTATCTATTTGTGTTGTTCTATATGGTATTGAATATTTAAGAGAGTGGAGACAAATTTGTACATTATTTCTACTTCCAAGCAGTTTTACTGTGTGATTTTTCATTGGGTTAATCAATTTTCTGGCATTTAGTTAATTTTTGTCGTTATATCTTTAATTTAAATGTTGTAATTTCAACGACCTCGGTTATCTAGCGATTTAGTGCACCGCTTTACTTCCGATGACCGCGGGTTCGATACCTCGCACGGTGCAAACTTTTGTATACATGAGTATGATTGTTTGTATCTGTCTGGATGTTTTCTATGTATGTATTTATGAACAAAAATATCTATGTTATTGTATCAATTATCTAGTGCCCATAACACAAGCTTTAACTAGCTTAATTTGAGTCTAGATGGCGCTATGTAAATTGTCCTGAGATTATTCATATTATTATTATAATATATATAAACTTTAATTTGAACACTTTTGTATACTCATCTTTTATTTTTAATCTACCGATCATTCGGAAAGCTGTCTTATCACAAGATGAACGAGTAACAAACAGGCGTGTTACATGTTTGAATAAATCTTGTAATTTTACATTTTCTAATTGAAATGTATAAGCCATAAGAACATACTCACCTATAACATTTACAAGAGCAAGTCCCTCGCACAGGTAGTACCTGTACGCCCACCAGTTGTGGTATCTCAGGTTCTCCCACAAGTAGTCCAGGATCAGTTTCTTCTTCGTCTTCTTCTCTATCTCGGTGCACACGCCCACGTCCAAGTCCATCATGAGGGCGCGGATCTTGCCACCCTCCCATGACTTCCACAGCCATCGGGGAGCGTAAAACAACATCGCCTGCAACAACCGATAAAAAAAAATTAATTACTAGCTGTGCCCGTTTTACCCGCGTGTTTATAGCCTATGCCTTATTCTGATGTATAAGTTATAATTACCATAAAGTTTCATCAAAATCCGTTCAGTAGTTTTTGTGTGAAAGAATAACAAAAATACTCACAAACTTTCGCGTTTATAATAAAAATAAGATTATTATACCTTAATATTAGATATTAGGTTATCAATAAAAATAGAAATAGAAATAATCTTTATTCAAATAAACTCATTACAAGCACTTTTGAATAGTCATATTTTGATTCTACCACTCATTCGGAATGCAGGTTCATCACAAGAAGAATGAGCAAGAAACTTGTGTGTTGCTCTTTTTAATAGATGTTTTTTATATAAATACGTATAATATATAAATACGTCAAGCAAACACTTGGTATCCCTCTTTACGGAAATTATCCGGACAGAAGAGTATGTAATTTCGCAAAGTAAACAAAACAAAATAGTTTATATAAAGAAGGAGTGCCGAACGATAGTATTGTTTTATAATTATGCATAAAAATACATTAAATCAAAAACAAAAACGTTACTTGACACACACACGCTTATATACTCCTTTGTTTATTGTCTGTTCTACTATCAGTGCCTGTGATTATAGAAGTATATGACACGAACCTTAATAATCTTCAAACTTGTAATTTAAATCAATTATGGTAGAATTTCGAACACCTAGCGTGCACAAGTTATTTTAAATATGCCAAAAAGGGCAGTCAAACTCAAGAAAAGGTGTTTCACAACCAACTGATATTATAGGTATAGAGATAAACACGTTCAAACATACACTTATGTATAAATAAGTATAGATTGCGAATCCGAAGATAGAATCAGGGAAAATGAAATAGCGAATATAAACTGTTTTATTCAAATGCAAATTATTTTTATTTCATCCTACGTGCACCTGAATCTAGGGCATGATGTATGTTCTAAAATTTATTCACTATTTGGCCGTGATTGATTTACAGACGTCCAAACATTTAACCATACGTACGTCAAAACATTTTCCGAAACTTTCTCATTATATATATATATACCAATATAATATTGGTGAAGAGTTTATTTGTTTGATCGTGCTAATCTCTGGAATTATCGGTTGGATTTGAGAAATTCTTTTTGTATTTGATAATGCAACTGTTATAAATGGAGCTGGTCGGGGCACTTAGCGCGATACAGAGACAAGAGATGGACAAATGTAACGACAAAATGGCAGGGCCCGACAGGCAAGCGAACAGTAGGACGGCAGAGAAAAAGATGGGCAGATGACATAAAAAATATAGCAGGAATAGACTCGATGAGAGCTGCTATGGATAGAGAGGGGTGGTGGAAGATGGAGGAGGCTTTTACCCGAGGGGGGCCACATAATAAGCCACAAAATAATAATAACAATAAACCAAAAGTATAATGTTGGAGGAATATAATGTGGAAGTTTAAGCTATAATAGATAAATAAATAAATGCAACTATTAAAGATGATGATGATGATGTTTTAGAGTGATCCATAAAAATCCCTACATTTTATGGATCACTCCATTCTCATAAATTTGAATTTATAATGAATCTGTATTATTATAAACATGTATTGCTTTAGCACTAGCATATGCTCACTCTATTCTACCAAATCTGAATTTATAAATGAATCTGTATTATTGTAAACATGTACAACATTTATTTGAAGAGAATACGAGCTGAGTTTCTCTTCAGTTCTTCTCATCTCGAAATCATTCCGAACCGACGGTAGTTTTGACATACTATATCATAAGAGTCTGTAATAGACCTACATGAATGAAGATATTTTGAATTTGATGATAGTGAAATGTTAAACCCGCTTCCGCCAATGGTTTATGCTGGAGGGATACCAGTGGAGGATGACAAAATGATCATGCTCATTTTGTCATCCTCCACTGGACATGTCAGTCAGTCCATCCTGGCAAATGGCATTTTCCACAATAGTTTTTAAGACGGACGGTGGTCAATCTGACATGGTACATTGTTAGCAATAGGGTTATTAGTCCGCATTTCGAATATTCCTTTCACTCCTTTTTAGGGTATTTAATATCTCGCTACCATCTTTAGGAGCATAGTAAAAAGAAAAAGTCTGAAGGATATCGCTAAGTGAAAATTAAATAGCGTAGCTTAATCGGGCGATATGATGCCTTCCGATTACTTGTGAATTAAACCGTGGTTGAAAATGCAGGGTTCAGATAGTTTAAATGTTAGTTTGTAGTCAGGTGACACTGTGTCTGTCCCGATTAAAACTGATTGCAAAAACATTGAATGGAGTTTTCGTTTCTATAAGTAAACCTATATAATTTAAACTTAGACAATTACAAATAGACGTATATATATATGCTTATTAACATAAACATTTGTCTTCTTCGGGTTTCGAATCAAGAACCGTCGGTAGGTAAGACAGTGTAATACTACTAAACAATTTTTTATCCAAGATATACATATTTACATCGGAAATAAGAATATCAATCCATTTGAAACGTGGGTGAATTTTATTGAAACCATAAAATTTGACAATAACTGCTGTAAAATCAACAAGCAGATTTTCTTGTCTCAACTTTTTAAAACAATCCTACACGTTTTGTAATAAGTGCAAGCGTTCGGTTAACCGAAAATGCATCTGCGTGCGCGGACATAAAGTTCTAAATTGCAACTGCACGGTTATCAGACGTCAATAAATTCATCGGGCTAGACAGTATCGTAAAGTTGGTGTATGGACATAAACTATTATGAGCGCTTTCATCGGGGATGTTAAATGGTTATATATTTGAGCCGATCTATGAAATCGAATCGTCCACAGATATCTTTGTAAGGTAGGGTGGCCGCGCGTCGGTAGTAAAACGATATTTATTAGCGGAAGCTGACAGATTTGTAATATTATTATTATTTTTATGACTAGAAAAGTACATCAATCTTGAAGAAAAGAAATATTTGACGGTACATTTTGACATTTTATTAAATATCTTTCCATAATGATAACATTTCTTTCAAGTACTTTTACAATATCATCATTGAATTGACTTTATCTCACTATTTTGGTTCGGCATATGTCATCTTCTTCCACTGGTCCCTATCTGAGCTTACTCTTCTATAATGCCTATCATCTTAGACACAATTCATCCTTTTTTTTGTTGACCTCTCACTTTACATCCATACAATCATGTTAATTCGATCTTTCCCCCGTCCAAAACAAACGGGGATGCCGTCAGGCGGGAGTTGGCCTTCAGCCGCTCCATAAGTCCTACCGCGGGTTTGGAGTGCCATCTGCACTCGCCCCTATCGTCCAGTGAAGCTTTAAAGGTCAGCTGTGCCCTTAGAGGAGTCCGAAAAAAAATGTAAACCATTTCCTTTAAGTCATGGTCCGAGAATTTGAAATTTAATCCTTCAACAACATAATTGTTGGTAAACCTAATTGAATACAAGAAGCCAAATCATACAGATAGTTCTCCAAATGACGACAAGATGGCGCTGCTTGTCTGTTTTATAGTTCCACGCACATATTGCAGTGTAAGCGGATTTTATATAGTTTGTATCGAAAATAAAAATGCTACTTGATGTTTTATTACAAAACAACATAAGCTTGAAAGTGTTATTGTAATAGACATATATCTTATTTTATTGAGAATTTTATTACAATGTTTTGTTTATAAAATAAATGCGAGAATGTTGGCGTTATGATAAGAGAGAAAGGGAAAGAGAAAAAGAGAGAAAGCGAGAGATTAATATATAGAAGTTGATACAATAATATAATATAACGAGTTTATCAGAAAATTGGTATTAAGAAGATATATAATATAAGCCTTTAGATTTTCCGCAAGGCCATCTAATGCCAAGCTAAGCAGAGCTTGTGTTATGAGTACTAGACAACTATATACTAGACTAGCTGTGCCCGCGGTTTCATCTGCCTAAAATATATACCCATATATATATGTGTTATTCTAATGCTTATAAGTTATATTACTGTAAAATTTGATCAAGATCCGTTCAGTAGTTTTTGCGTGAAAGAGTAAAAACATATATCTATCTATCTATCTATACTCACAAACTTCCGCATTTATAATATTAGTAAGATAATTAATACTTAGACACATTTTTTTTTGTAAGTACATACATAATATACATAGAAATCACCCAAAACGATATAAACAAGCATACTCAAATATATTTGTACAGTGCGAGGAGTCGAACCCACGACCATCGGAAGTAAAGCAAAGTACTAAATCGCTAGACCACAGAGACCGTCAAGTCAATAATATTTTTATATAGAACTTCCCGCGGCTGTTCTTGACGGAGTAACGAGGGTTAGATGCCGTAAGTCAGTTGATACATATTGAAGAAATGGGCTATAATTAAATTTATTTACTCGAACATTTTACTAAAATAGAAATAGAAATAATTTTAATTCAAATAAACTCAACTAATTGTTATACCTCGACCAGACATAGTCCATCCTAAGGTTGCTTGGATGAAATCGCTATTTAGCGATAAGCCCATTGTTATCTCCATATTGTAATTATGTTGTTTTTTTACTTTTGGTGTACATATTAATTTATGTAATTGTTATATTCTTTCTCTGAGAAGAACAATAAAGAGAATTTCATTCATTCATCCATTACAAGCACTTTATAATAGTCATTTTTTTCTTCAGTAATTTTAACTGTATATAGGATTCTGCTTTCCATATGTAGTATTTGATTTGGCTGTGCGTAAAGCCGACTCTACAAGAGTAGCCAGCTCCTTCTAGAAACGCAGATGTGTTCTAAAATCTTCACATTTGTCTCCGAAAGACCTTAGTGTTCCGAGGATTTAGGTACGTTGGAAAGCCGCTTTTCTTCAGCTTCAAAGCAGCCTCGATATCGAGGACTTTTGTTTTTTCTGTGGTCTAGAATATAACATGTCATATAGACTCTTTAGTATATATTGGATTGGTATTTCCGAACTGATACG